TTTGGGTAAGGGCTGAGCTCAGAATAGGAGAGTGTTTGTGAGAGTCAAGCCTCAATTGGGTTTCATTATAAATGTATTAATTATCCTCAGTGGAGGGTGCTGTGCTAAAAAGGTTGCACTGTCTCCCTTGACAGAGGTACACCAAACATGTGCCCCAACTCACCTGTGGCAAGGATTTGTGGAGAAGTATGTGCTGGTGAACGTTAGAAACGCGACAGGCAGACAGAAACCTTTACTCCGCCTTGCAGGAGCCTGTTGAATGTTTAAGTGTATCGGAATCTCTTTAACCGACGACCAGCTCCTCCAAGCATGTTCCGAGCGATGCGGGGAGTCCCACGGGGAGGGAGGTGCGAGAGGAGTGAGTGATCTCTCTCGACAGGCGCAGCGTGAGATGTAGCACGGAGCGGCTCATTTGATCTCCCCGTGGCGGCTCCAGGTTTCAGACCCTGTGGCACTGTGATGAGGAGTTTTTTGCATTGCTGAATAATGCAGGAAGGGACTCCAGCCTGCAGCGATAGGGGCTGAAGAGGTAGAGCAGAGATGCTCGGGGCCTAAGGATCCTAGCGTATATTGCAGGACCTGGCGCTGTACTTTGGAGAGGACGGCGCTTCTGAGAGACAGCCGCCTGCCTGCCTGTCTGTCTTTTGGCCACTTTCACGCTGCTTCAGTCAGTTAGCATTCAAACCTCAGGGATGCTGGGAAGTGTATTTAGCTGGTGGAGCACTTACAATCCAGTGCACTGACTAGCCATTGTCCTGCTAATGAAGGCCCAGTACAAGGGCAACGGCCACCAGACCCGGTAGGGTATTGGGTTAGTTGTCTGACAACTTTGCTCACAATCTGAGCTCAGTCTGTGTGGTTCTGCTTTTATATGCAAATGAAAATTGGGAAGTTTTGGGTGCTATTTCAGGATAGGATTGCATAATATCACATTATGATTATATGACGCATGCGCAATAATCACCAGGGCTTTAGATGATGGCCATACACATTTCTCTGGATGCCAGCTTTTTGGTGCTATACAGACATTTACTTCTGCTCATAATTAAGAAGCAGATTAGTAGTGTGTCTAAAATATTAATGAAAGGCATAGGGTGATGCCACATTTGGAGGGTCCTCATGTTAAATAAACCTGTCCGACTTGAAACTGCAGAAAGTACCGCCACACCACCCACGTCCTTTTTTATCCACAATATCTCCTCTTTCAAAAGATATTGTGGCTGCTGAGTTGTCTCTTTCTTCACCGCGCTCCAGTGCTTATCTCTTTCATGATATAGGCCTTCCAACACAATAGCATGTGGCAGGCTCCTCTAACTCAATTTAATAAACACAAGGACACACCGAATTTATATGGATTACTAACTTTTGGGCATCACAATTTGCATCACATTAATATTTTAGGTGTATGACTAATCCGCTTACCAAATTATGGGCGTAAGTAAATGTTCATATTGCAACGAAAAGCCAGTGTCCAGACAAATGTTTACGGCCGTCATCTAAAGCCCTGCTGATTATTTTGCATGCACCATATAATCTCGATTGTATTGCAATGAAATAGCGTGCCGCCTTCCTTCATCAGGTCCCCCCCCCTTTCCCGCTGGCTTTGGCCAGACCTGGCTAACCCTCTTCCTATCTCGACCCCTTGAAATCCCAATGATCCCCCCCCCACCCCCGCCCCAACTGGACGGCTAGCTCGACCCGCTTTGATGTACATGTATACTGACAAAGGTTTATAATTGCTTTCTATTTTTTTTAAGTTCTATTTTTGTGACACTTTGTAATTTTTTTTTCTCCTGTTCTTCCTGTTCTAAAGAAATTGCTGTTTTATCCGGTTCCCAGTCTGCTTCATTAATGTCAGAAAACATTAACAGACAGACACATCTAAATGGGAGTTTTGCATTAATCAAAAGTATTTTTTACGATGTTCTTCATCGTGTGAAGCCATTTTTTTGTGTGTTTAGTGCTATATCTTATTTTCACACTTCTGTTTTGGATTTCACTGTTGGTCTGTGAGTCTATATGTATGTATATGAGACCAATCCTGAACAAAACTTAACAGATGAAGACAACCATTCATACAAGTCGGCTTTAATGAAATATAAGAAGGGAAGTAGTAGGACAGAATGTGATTTTGTAATTATTCCAATAAATGAGTCCTAACCTTTAGCTCTAATTTTCTGTATAAAATGGGCAATAGCATGGAATGACTGTTTCTTTTTTTGGTGGGGAATGAGGTGCAATTTTTATTAAGAGCAGAATGCTGTCAAAGGGTAATTCATAGGCTATGAAAAAAGATCTGCTGCCTGACTGGTGCCAGAGTGGTTCCCAGTTTGAGAAAAATGAGGAGACGAGCCCCCGGGACCGGCAAGCACTCTGGTTCACTCCCCTCGGACCTGCCTCTCAGCACAGGTCTCCAATCTCTCCGCTGGAGCCACTCCAGCCGGCAGGCAGCCCTCCTGCTCTCGAATTAATGCTTGACCATGAGCCTCCGGCTAATTCAGCCGAGTAATATCACTGCAGCAGATAGGGAGACCCCGTCCTTCAACGTGCCCTTTCCAAATGAGCTAAAGGATTCAAGAAAGGAAATGCTTCATGCTAGTGAAAAGCTTTTGCTCCGCTTCCATTTTATTCAGAAGTTGCTTTTCAGGTGGACTTCAGTAACTCCCAGTATCATTTTGGTAAGACTTTAAAAAATTATAATTTTTTTTTTTTTAATTTCCTTTGCAAGTTGCACTCTCATAAAAAAACAACTTCTGATAAGACAAGCTTAGCTCTGAAAACTTAGCTGGCCTTGCAGTAAACTTATATCCGCTATATTTCCATGACTTCTTATTAAACACAAGGTCTTGGACTGTGGGTTGAAGCCAAAGTGCCCAGAGGAAACCTTTCCTGGGTGACATACACTAATTCAGATTGTATGGCCATTCATTCACATCACACAGCAGTGAACGGGCTTCTGTTGTGTGGTTCATTGTTAATCAATGTAGGCACAGCGGGGCTTGAATGTTGCTCTGCATTGTGTATTCCAGCAGCAGGGATTTATTCAGATCATTTATTGTTGGTGGAAACAGGACATTCCCACTACTGTAACAGACCTTTTAACTACCATTGAGCTGAAACTGTGCTTATTGGTTTGCTTAGCAGGTATTCTTAGTCTGGAATTAAGGTGAGACAACTAGCAGGGTGCTATACCCACAGTGCCACATATGGGAAATTAACTTGCAAACCAAGCTGTACCTAACCAATCTCCAGCACCGCTGCACTGCATGAGTTGCAGGTTTGAACATATGTTCTTCCTTCTGCTATTACGAAAAACGGAAGTGGTTGAGGATAAATGCAGCTTGTATGAGACTTGTTGTGTTTGCCCTTTAGCCAAAGGTGCTAGATGGATGTGGAATGCCGAATGAATGTGGTTTGTGTGTGTTTCCGGGATGCTGCGGGACCTTCCAGATGAAAGTGATAAGATAAGATCTTGTCTTGTAGGATAAGATGAAATGAACTTTATTGGTCCCAGGGGAGCATTCTTTGAAAATAAATACAATTCAAAAATGAACACAGACATGCACGAAAAGAATACACTTCTGTTTTGATTTCTTATTCATTATATGTGCATGTGAATGTGTGTGTGTGAAATATTATTAGATACTTTTTTCCTTCGTTGTGGAGGCCCAGACAATTTCTTGGCCAACACTGGTCTTTTTCATTATGTTCGTTTTAGTAGATGTATTTTATTTTGATGTGTAGAGAAGATATAGTGAGTTAGCTGCTCATTTACTTGTACTGTAACTCAGATGGTGTGTCCTGCTTTGTTTAAGTTTAAGCTATTTTTTTCTTAATGATGACCTTGTCTATTTTGCTCTGGCTCCTTTCGTGACTGAATTTATTACTGTTTTGTTTTTCCAGTGCTTTGCAAAGTGAATGCTCCCCTTGACTGTGAATTAAGAACTTGGACTCTATTCCTCCCATTAATAGGACTGTAGTAATTACATCTTCTCTCTCAAAAAGAATATTTTTATAGACACTTTTGGTTTCTTAGTTAATTTAATAGCAAGCATAAATGTACTGTATGGTGTCCTTAATGTGTTTGATGCAAACCATGATGAAGCCTCAAAAAAGGGTCACATGAGATGGGATCATTCCAAACATCACTGGCTTGGATCCGGCCCAGAAAGATGCTTTCGGCATCACGGTCGTTATTACTGTGGCAGTACATGTCAGTGGGTGTGCTTCTTTCTCTGCTTGCAAGCCGAGTGTGAGATGTACTCCTCCCTACTGCATTGTTCTTAACGAGCAATGATTAGTGCAACACTGAAATACTGTGATGATGCGATAATTAAACATGACGGAATGTGCGCTTGCGTCACCAGTTCAAAAGTTATTGACTGTGCGGGATGTCGCTGACAGCTACAGGAATGTTACAGGTAGGGTTCTGTTTAGAGTAGAATCCATTTTAAAAATGAAAGGTTCTTCAATGTACAGCTGACAGCTAAGTGTCACTTGTGACCTAAATATATCTTACGCAAAAAAATGAGGAATGGCGTATTTAAGGGAGCACGCTTCTAATTAAATCTCATATTTTGTCTTACAAGCGGGGTGCAGAAACCATGGCTGTGCCAATCCTACATTTCCAAAAACGATCAGAAGAAAAATGTTGATAGAACGCTAACGGTCATCGGTTTGTTTGTTTCCTGTCACTGTCACTGTCAACACTGGACAAACAGCAGCAAACGTTGGCCTAGTTTGTATATCGAAGCTATTTATGCTCATTCTGTATTCAGTTCTTAGATGAGAGATGACTGAAATATTATGTTTTTCATTGTCGTTGCAGCCCCCACAGTTTAATTTCAGGCTTCAGTTGAACTAGCATCTAAACCACACTCTCTGCCTGGTCACACTGCTGGGCTTTTAATGTTCTTTTTTTAGCAGATTCAATGAATAGCTCTTCTGCCGGTGTCATCTGCCATCCTTTTTGCTCAGCTCATGCTTTGTTTCGTCACCAGCCCGGGCAGGAGATCAGCCTGGATCTTTACGAGGAGGTGACCATGGGATGGCCGCAGAGACCAGGACCAGGAGGGCTGCCAAGGAGTCCTACTGGGCCTACTCAGGTGAGCAAGGTGCCCTCCGATACCTGACCCTGTGGTGCTCCTCCCCCACTGTCTTTCAGTACCACTCATAAAGATTCTTGGGGAGGGTCATGCTGTGGTGTAAAAAAGATGACTGCTGTTGTCCATCTGTGGTTTTGTGATATTGTGTGTATATCATAGAGGGACATTCAGTCTCAGTGTTCTCTGATGTCATAGGTACTAATTGATCGCGATTTTATTTTGTATTTGATGTGACTGATATCCGCTGTTCATAACGAAGGAGACTGGAGGAAATATGACGAGTGTGAATTCCTCCCTGTGACCTAATCATAGCCCTTATGCACGCTCCATTTTCCCGTGTTTGCAGTGGAAGACCATTGCGACATTAATCAGGCTAGTCTATAATGCATCCTGAAATCATTTTCCTCTTACAGCAATATCAGTTTCAGTTTTTTATTCTGCACTTTTTCGAGTTTGTGAAAGCAAAAATGCTGTTTATACACTTTATCCACACTAAGTAACATCATGGTGTTTGGCTTTGTGAATCTGGGCTCTTTACTGTAACATGATCTCAGTCTTCAGATTCCAGCTCTCTGTTTTGCTATCCATGGGTCCAGAAAAATCCAGGATGCTACTTCAGATTTGTACAAGTTGCATAGAATCCATCCATCCATCCATCCATCCATCATTATCTATACCGCTTAATCCATCCGGGTCGCGGGGAAGCTGGAGCCAATCCCAGCATCTTCAGGCGAGAGGCGGGGTGCATGCTGGGCAGGTCGGTTGCATAGAATCAAAATGGTAATTATGGTAATCTGTACTATTCTGTATGACTTTCCCAGTAATAATGCTGGTAATACATGTGAAATGTGGGGTTTGAGTGTGTGTATGTGTGTGTGTGAGCATTCATTTCAGCCGGAGGCACAGACGCACACACACACACAGGTTTGTTATTATATCTTTGTGGGGACTATCTATTTATTTCTATGGACAAAACCCTAATCCCAAAAATAACATAAATCCCTACCCAGCCATAACCTTAAGCATAAGTAACCAAACAAAATACAAGATTTTTGGCATTTTTAGTTTTTTGATTGCATCCAAAGATCTTTGTGGGGACCTGAAAAATGGTCCCCACAACATCAAAATGTCAGGCTTTAATCGCATTGTGGGGACATTTGGTCCCCACAATGTAAGGTACACCTGGACCACACCCACACTCTCTCTCTCTCTCTCTCTCTCACACACACACACACACACTGATCTCTGTCTTTAGGTCTCCCACACAAATTTTACTGCCAGTTACTTGCCTGTAATTACCGCACACCCTGAAACCCTGATCTGAAACACACATCTCTTCATGCAATGTATAGCTGATGTAAATTGCCAGCTCCCAATAGCTTGGATTTTTCTCATGGGTCCAGCAAATTGCTCAGTGTAAAAGCATAGTGGTTATTCCTAGAAAGGAAGGATGGGGCAGAGGCTGTTATTTGCCGGGGGAGCGGTCATTGCGCTTGGCTGCCAGAGCAGCACCTTCCCAAGTTGCCTAATTCACATTTAGCTGATATACTGGACATTATCAGTAATCCCTGACAATGGCATTGCATTTTCTGTTACCCTCTTGGGTGATCTTCCTTTTTCATGCAACGAAATGCATCTGTTTCTAACGCAGATGCATTGCTCTGGACGTGCTTTCCTATTGGCAGCAGTCATTCTGAGAAACACTACAAATCTATTCTCAGAACTGGATGAACTGCAGTTGCCATCTCAGAACTATTTCAGTGACGTTTTCATTGACTCCAGTTGGACTGGGGAAGCTTGAGTTCCCTTTACTCAGATCATCACGCATTCTTCGTGTTTTCGGATATCTTTGCATTCTGGAGTGGTCCGGAGCTCAGACAGTAGAACTCCCTGGATGGAATGCCTGTCCATTGCAGAGCACATATATATTCACTCACACACTATAGGCAGGTTAAGGACACCACTTAGACCAACTGCATGTCTTTGAACTGCAGGCAGAACTTGCAAACTGCAAACACAGAAGACGCACCATTCAGTCACCTAGCGCTGGAGGTGAGGTAATAGTGCTACCCACCAAGCCAATGAATTATGCCACTTGAGTGAGTTGATTATGAAAGGCAATAAGTAACGGGATAAGGAACTATATTGTGTATTCTTAGACTCAATGTGATGCAGAGAATAGCAAAAAAAAACAGCCTAGATTGTAATCTCTTTTTAAATCTGAATATTATTCCTTGTTTTTCATACATTAGAATTATTTTCTAAAACTCCCATAATTACAGACCATTTATATAAGCCATTGAATTTGTAAATGCACTCTTCTGTCTGCTCAGCTGGCTTCAAGTTCCGTCGTTCCGCTGGATAAAAACACTACCGCAAAGGTAGTATGCCGTTAAATACGTTTTTTTTTTTTTTTTAATTCACCGGATATTAATTTCACAGCTATTGTGGTTTTCAGTACTGCTCAAATAAATTGCAGCTGAGCTTTAATTTAAAAAGTAGAGAATACATCCCTTGTCTTTTTTGCCTATCAGCTAACCAAAGCAATTTCGCATTTACTGGAGTGTTTTGAGTTAAGGGCTTTCATGCATTTGAACTGCGACAGGGAGAATAAAGACTGAAAATCGAGTTTTGCTGCAGAATGTATTAAGAAAAGCATGGAGAGTTACTCTTCTTCCTCTCCTGAACAGCCAGTGACTTTCGATGCATCTAGTTTGGTTAGTCAGTGCTTAACTGTTGCCTTGGAAACGGGAAAGCTCACTGAAGGCTATCAGCCTCCAGGTGAACTTATGAGGTGGCTTTTAATGTGTTTTCATAGATATATACTGTACCTAGCAAGAGCATTGTATGTGTTCATTTGGGTGAAAAAAATTTGAGAATTTAAATTAAATTATATAGAGTATCATTATATAGTTAAGCTGGAATATGCTATATAATATTGCATTGATTTATTTGCATATGACTAATTGCATTATCCTTTTGATTAATTTGTAACAATTTTAGCATATTGAATAAAATAAGCATAAGTTTTTATTAGAGTTTATTGGGTTTTTTTTGCGAACATTAGCCTCTCCCACAGGTACAGAAATGGGATTTGCTCTGCCCATTGCTTTAAGAAGTAATTATTGCTGCACACTGTGAAAGGGGGATGGCGTGCCAGAGCTGCTAAATGTTTACTAATACTTTGTGCTGAGGGCATCTGGCAGAAGGGGTGGCCAGGAAAGACGGGGCGTAGTGAAGAGGCCTGGCATTGCAGCCAGTGGGAGACCTCGGCGCTCGAGCCAGGCCAGTAGCACACGCTCCCCAGGCTCACTCGTCCCTCCAGATGAAGCCGATGTCAGTGACCACAAACAACACACCTTACAGACCCTCCACAAATGAACAAGTGACAATGCCAGTGTGGAAATGCCAGCTCCCTCTCACTCTGTTCTCAGTCCCCCCCTCTCTCTCTCTCTCTCTCTCTCGCCATGCTTCTGCTTGTTTTGGCTCTGATCCTAACTGCACTGAGATTTGCATGTTAAAGACACTGAAATGGCCATTGCTCATTTTCCAGCTTTATTTATGTGATAATTGAGTCTCCCGCTCCTTCTACAGGGGCCCTGGATTGCCTGCCCCCATCAGTCTTGTAACACGCTGCACACAGTCAGCTGGGGAGGGGACTTGTTAGAAGGGCCCTGCCTTATTTCTGCAAGGGGGGGAGAAATCTTTTGTCACTTGGATTCGGCATGTTTAATTTATTTAAGTACGCTCCACTGAAGGGCACAGGGCCCCGGTGGAATGTGCTCTAATAAAATGATCTGGTGTTACCGATGGCCCTGTCTCCACCACGTCCAGCAAATGGACCACCACATCTGCTGCTGTGTTCGCGGTAATTGTGCAATTTACCGAATAGCCCCACAACCTGCTCCTATAATCGGACATGACTTTGCACTGCGTGAGTAATCTCTCTGTTTTAGAGTCAACCCTGAGGGGCATCTTGTTCTGATAATATTCATTGCCGGCAGTGAGCTCTTCTTAAAAGTGAAACGTGCAGGTCAATGCCGAGGCAAGGAGTTTGATAGCTGTGAGATCATTGAAGATCTATAGATAATGCTTGACTCTGGGGAGAAAAGAGATGTGGCTTCCAAACGAGCTACCTCACTCTCTTAATCTACCATCCCGCAGACAGGCAGATCTGTTTATCCGTTCTGCTGTGCTGTTACCTCTTTTTCTCTCAGCTGCTCCTTTTTTGGCAATGTGCTACTGAATATCGGACAGCTGTACGGTTTCAAGATGTGCTGTTTGAACATCTGCATCTTGTGTCCTGATGCTTGGATTGAATGAACGGTGATTTTATGTCTATGACCTTGGCTTCACTGATGTTTTAAGGGTTGAAAGATGGCTAGGTCTAGGTCTGTCACGATAACTATTTTCGCTGGACGATGTATTGTCCCGGGTGGTGCGGTGACGCAGTGGTTAGCGCTGCTGCCTCACAGCAAGAAGGTCCTGGGTTCGGTCCCGGGTCCTTTCTGTGTGGAGTGCGCACGCTGTTCGCGTGGGTTTTCGCCGGGGGCCACGGTTTTCTTCCACGGTCCGAAAGCGTGCAGGATAGGTTGATTGGTGAGTCTAAATTGGCCTTGTAGTTGTGTGCGCCCTGCGGTGTGTTGGTGCCTGCCCAGGGTTGGGCGCCCATTGTTCCTGGGATTGGCCCCGGCCCCCCCAGCGACCTCAGTTGGGATTCAGCGGTTTCAGAAAATGGATGGATATATTGTCCCAGAAATAATTGCAGTAAACAATATTACTGTCATTTTAAGACCATGTCATGCCACTGATATAATGATAATATAATAGCATAATATAGGAAGTACACCCATTAAAAGAACAATGAAATTTTTAACAATATTCAGACATTGAAATTGGATTGTCAAAAAATGTAAATATCCTAAATAAATAAAACCACACAACCGAAAAAAAAAATCAATAAAATAGACTGTCAAGCTCCGTTAACAAATATTTCCCTA